CCGTTGCGGGGAAGGCTTGAGGTGCACCTTTCTCGGCCAGCCCGGGTAAATTCGGCCGTATTCTTCAGCCAATTCTTCATGTGATGCTCCAGGTACGGCCCTCCCCCTTCCGTTCCCTGCGGCGCTGCGTGTCGAGGCCGGGACGGAATACCCCGGGCCGCCGCAGCCAAGCGCGAGGGGGAACGCCAGACGCCTCACGTGAAGGGGGGAGGCCTGGCAACGCTGCGCTCTGCCGGGCGCTCACCGACAAACCGGGGGGAGCCGAGGCGGCCAGGGAGGAACAGCCAACTGCCGGCAACCAGCCGGAACTGCTGGGGCCGGCCCGTATTGAAGAATATGGCCGAATTTACCTGGGCTGGCCGTATATCGGCGTATAACACGCACACATCATTTGCCCCCTATTTTCAGGGGGAAAAAGTGCGTGTTATACGCCGATAAATACGGTAATCCTCAATTTAAGACCATAATTGGGACTGGAATTTCTGTTGCTAAGCAATAGTCATAAAGCGTAATGTCACATGACCACATCACTTAGCAACAGCAATCCCAGCACTTCCCACTGTCATCATAACTCCCCTGTGGCTGGGAGGGAAGTGAAGAGGGAGGAATCCCATGTAGGAAAAGCAGATGTTGCACAGGGATGGAGGAGGCCCTAGATTGGTCCAATGCAATGCGGCATGAGCTCAGGGAGGAAGAGAAAGAGAGTGTGGAACATGAGCATGCACATGTGAGCACAGGGAGGCTGGAGAAAGAATAGGCTGAAACTTAGGGCTTCTTGGTATGCTGTGATGTTGGGAATGAAGGAAGCCCCTGAGCTGCAGCACAGTTTGAAGGCACAGTCTCCCAGGAAGCTCAGAAGCCTAGCTCCAGCCCAAGCATGGTCAAGCAGTACAAAGGGGCTTCTTCTCGTTGCAGGATGTAACCCCAGCCCACTTCCAGTCATTGTTGCTTTTGCCACCTTGCTCTCCAAGGCCCCTGCTGATAAGGCATGCCTGCCCTGGCTTTTCACACGGCCACTGCTGGCCACATAAGACCATCTTCCCCAGGTCTTGCAAGAAAACACATTGG